GATCCCCTCCCTTCGGAGACTGGGCCGCAGGGCAGTATTCCAACATGATAACGACCCCAAACACACCTCCAAGACGACCACTGCCTTGCTAAAGAAGCTGAGGGTAAAGTTGATGGATTGGCCAAGTATGGGCATCCTCAAACAGAAGGTGGAGGAGCGCAAGGTCTCTAACATCCACCAGCTCCAGGATGTCGTCATGGAGGAGTGGAAGAGGACTCCAGTGGCAACCTGTGAAGCTCTGGTGAACTCCATGCCCAAGAGGGTTAAGGCAGTGCTGGAAAATAATGGTGGGCACACAAAATATTGACACTTTGGGCCCAATTTGGACATTTTCACTAAGGGGTGTACTCACTTTTGTGGCCAGCGGTTTAGACATTAAAATTATTTTGAGGGGACAGCAAATTTACACTGTTATACAAGCTGTACACTCACTACTTTACATTGTAGCAAAGTGTCATTTCTTCAGTGTTGTCACATGAAAAGATATAATAAAATATTTACAAAAATGTGAGGGGTGTACTCACTTCTGTGAGATACTGTATAGTGCTGTACTACAGGGACGGTCCTAGACCCTTTTAGGTGGGCTTCAGCCACCCTATTTGTCGTCTCAGCCCCCTAAAACTATAATCAGCTATCTGAACGATCAGACCAGTGCTGCTTCCTCATGAAAGTTTATAATTTTCGCTTTTAAGGGCAAGATGGCACGACTGAGATCTCAATGTGGTATTCACGCGATGTGATATCGTTACTGTGTACACACACTAATATCTAATGGTCTCTCTGAGGGCTAAGCCCCCCTGAGGATGAAACCCTAGAATCGCCCCTACATTTAAAATGAAGACACCATTTTATTTATCTCTTTTGAGACAACATATAGTCTCTATTCCATTTTATGTGTGTTGTTTTGCCAAAACAACACTCAATATTAAAAGGGATAGTAGAGACAAACACATTTCCAAAACAGAAAAAATATTTATTAATTATTTAATGATACAATTGTTGT